TTTGTCCAGCAAGCCTGCAAATACAAAAGATAAAAAACATGGCTGTAGAAATATTTGCAGACTAATGTCAAACTTCAAGGCAGAGTGTCTCAGCAGCACCAAACTGATGGAATTGTCACTTGTTTTCCAGATCAGTTTTGACCATCGTAGGGTTATTGTCAACACCAGGAAATGCCCTGAATAAGTGCATGGAGCATTCTTATCCTGCAGTTATCTCTATGCATACAGAGATCAAGATACCAGGTTAATCCAACTCCTACAATAATTATGAAGTTCCAGAAATGAATTCAAGAAACAGTTATATCCTGTTTCTGAATAAGTAGCAACTAGGCCTTTCTCCTAACTGAACTGTGGAAAGAAAGATCATTACCTTTCACAATTAATTCAAAAACACAAGATCTAATGGTATGCTATACCTAAAACAATGAAAAGGGATCTAGTAAACTGGGCCTTTAAAAAAACCTTGCATCAGGTGTATTCAAACTCACAGGCTGGGCACATAAGTCAATGCAAGAAAGAGCCCAAATTGGTAATTCTATCTACTGCATTTGCATTCCATCTAATCCATTTACAGGATTTGGTAAGCATTACTCTCATTTCAGTTGAAGCAACAACTTTCAGGTTGATTTGAAAATAGTTGGTGTGCAAAATGGCTCTGGTTGCTTTCATATTGAGGTCAGTAAATCAAATCAAATCTTTACTGCAATCATAGCCCAGCATAATGAAGTCAGTATGTTTATGGCATCACCCGTTAGACTATTGGTGAAGAAACCTGCACTAAACCCCACATATCATCCAACACCGTTCTTTAAACTTTAAATAAATCCTTCATCATTTTGGTCTAGTTGCCTTGCAGATATTGTTGCCAGATTGATAATTGTATGTACTAATGGCAGATTTTAATTACTCTGTATTTCTTCTCTCTAATGATGTAGCTTACCCGAGCTTTAGACCACGGAGCCAATGATTCAAGAATTATGGTTTCACTGGGTAGTTATTCTGGCTCAGCCTCCAGCCATAAAATTAGAATAATGACAACTTATCCAAACAAGGCTGAAAGCTATACTTGATTTATAGCAATTATATATAAAGGTTACAGATAATGTTTTCTTACAAGAATTCATCATACCTTTTTTTGATGCCAGTAAGCCTTCGGACATTCTTCTTTTTTTGAGCTTATCCTTGATTTGAGCAGTCTCCATGGCTGCACTGTTGATTTCCAACTCACTGAGACTGTACTTTGGCTGGGCATTAGGTATCTGTGAAGAGCCATTCATGACTGTGCTGTCTGGATTCTTCTGAAGGCCATTTCTACTATCCCAGCTCTTCAGAGAAGAAACATTTGAAGGTTCTCCTTTGTTTCCCCATAAACATGATTGTGTCTTTAAAACTGATGCTGTGGAACAATTTAAGCAGAGCAGCTTAGTTATTCAGGCTGAAATTTACTTCTCCAGAGAACTAAAAGTCTGTAGAGATTCTCAGTCATCTCAGTCATGGTTGTCCCAAAGGTGCTTTTTCAGGAGGCAACTGGATGTTCTTGTTTTTTCTTTAAAGACGTTTCAGTTCTCATCCAAAAAGCTTCTTCATCTCTGACAGGATAGTGGGGAATGGAAGGATTGCAAATGACCAGCTGTCTGCAAGGAATATAAATCCTTCCATTCCCCGCTATCCTGTCAGAGCTGAAGAAGCTTTTTGGATGAGAACTGAAATGTCTTCAAAGAAAAAAAACAAGAAAGTCCAGTTGCCTCCTGAAAAAAGCACCTTTGACTAAGAATATCAGATGCAAGGATAGTTCCCCAGTCAGATGCAAAGTAAAATGTAGCTTCTCTTCCTTCTGCAAAAGTCTGCATACAGTAATAAAAGTCTGCATACAGTAATAAAAAAATAGCTTATTGTGCAAGGATGGGGGGGGAAAGAGTTACTGAAAGGTCTTACAATTTGAAGGGCTATTGAATGGGATAAAATGAATACTATCTGAAGAGGGCGGAGCTGGTGTTGCGACGATACGGCATGCGATCTTGGAGGTCTGAGATCGCTGCCAATATCTTTGCTCCTGGACGGTCCAAGTGGATCTAAACCATCCCGAAGAGACGGTGAATGTAAAGAGCGCATCCTGTCGATCCCAGGGATATTGCAAAGTCCCTGGTAGACCCAGGAGAAGCTCTTTTTGCCAGCGGCAAAGAGGCAGCCATTAAAGCTGCTGAAGTTGGGACAGCTCTGAAACGAAAGAGAACGAAAGAGAAAGTGTGCCGGTTTGGTGAGAACTTTTCTTTATTTAAAGATTTGAGAGGACACCCTAAGGGAAAGAAAGAATCTGTAAAAGTTTTTTGACAGAAGTGAATAAGCGGCGATTTTAAACAGGAATGTCAAAGTAATATTTTTATTTTTTTTCTTATTGCTGATGATCCTATATTTCGAAACTGGAGTGGTTTTTTCCTTTTTTTTTTTTTAATCTACTCTTTTCTTCCCCTTTTTGATTTTATAATATATTAAGCCAGAGACTTCCTTTTAGTCTTTTTTTTTTAAAAAAATATTTTCTTCCTTTTTCAACTAATTCTTATTATACTCTGCCGGAAAAGGAGGGGGAAAGTGAAAGCTAAAGAAACTTTGTAACACTGCCAACTAGAGGCTTGAAAATACTCTACTTTTCCTTTGACCAGACAAAGCTGAGAAAGAATTGAGACTTTTTTTCAAGGACACTGCTTGTTTGATAAGATAGAGGGAAGAGCATGGGAGAGTATTATTGCAGGTGCTCTTCTGGGTTTCTATCAACAGCTGGTGTCTGGTGTTGAAACCTAGGGAAAAAAAGGTGGTTTGTTTTTGGAGAAGAGAGTTATAATAAGAGCCTTGGATAATTAAACAAAGTGCAGTGTGCTCTTTTTACTTTTTCTAAGTTGTGCTATCCCTCCTCACTAGCTTTATTTTATTTCTTTTTTTTTTGCAATAGCTATTTGGATCTTTGGCTTTGTTGGAGCTTGGCTTTTTTTTTTCTTTTTTTTTCTTTGGAAGTCCAATCTCTATGCTTGTTTTTTATCTTAAAGGGAAAACTTTAGTATTAATGTTTCCTTTTTTTTTTAAGGGAATAGCCTTTTTTTCTCCTTTCCTGGTATTTTTGTTTTTTCATCTACCTTTCTGGTTTATTCTTATGTACTCTTATTTATTTAAGACCTCTCAATTGGATTAAGGTGTTGAAGAACCTGAAGAATTTTTCCTTTCCTTTTCTTTTTTTTTCCAAGCCTTTTTCTGCATCTAACCACCAATTGGATTAAGGTATACAAGAACCTGAAGAAATTTTGTCCTCTTTTTCTTTCTTTTTTCTTCTTTTTTTATCATTACTATTTGGTTTCTTTTTTCTACTATTTTTACTTCGAACTACAATTGGTTATTTCATAATTGGATTAAGGTTTAGAAGAACTTGAAGATTTTGAATTGCTTAAAATGAGTAGGAAACTAACAGCTCCTGGTTCTTCAACTTCTACTTCCTCCTCTCCACCATCTGGAGGACAAAGTTCAATATAGACAATGTTAAAGCAAGAAAAAGAACAAGAAAAAGTGACTCTGCAGATGATTATGCAAGGAATTCAAAATATTCAAGCAAGATCAGAGAATATTGAAAAGAGAATAGAGAACATTGAACAAAGAACAGAGAACATTGAACAAAGAACAGAGAACATTGAACAAAGAACAGGGAAAACCGATGAAAAAGTGGAGAAAATCCAACAAATGATGTTGAAGTATGATGAGAGATTCCAAAAAATTGAAGAAGAAGATAAACAAAGAGACAAGAAGATTGTAGATATTGATAATAGATTAACGGTGGTTGAACAGGATAAAAGTGGTATGTTGAAATGGGAGATGGATAGATCAGAATTCTATCTTAGATTCCAAAACATAGAGGGAAAAAAAGGACAAAACTTAGCTGAGATAATGATAGAAATACTGGCTGAAGCTTTGGAAATAACTCAAGAGAAGATGATGGATGGAATAGATGAGGTTTATCGAGTTTTCACAAAGAGGCAGAAAAAGAAATCTCACTAATTGAATTCCAAGAGGACTGCCAAATGGTGATTGAAAAAGAAGAAGGTGCAGTAGGTGGAAAGGTGGAAGCCAAAGAACAATGTGAACCAAGATCTACGAGAGCTGCTAAACCTAACTACAAAATATAACCATGGAAGAGAAAAAACTGATTACAATTAATATAAATGGACTTAACTCAGCCGTTAAAAGAAGAAAACCTTTCATAAATTAGAGAAATTAAAATTTGATATAATTTGTCTACAAGAAGTACATATTAAAAAACAATATGAACAATTGTTGATACAGCCAAAACACAATGACACAATGTAAGAAAAGAGGAAAATTGATTTATACCGATGATGACGGAAGAATTTATACCAATGATGACGGAAGAATATTAATGGTGGAAATAATGGACAATAATACGAAAACACTCCTGATTGCAATCTATGCCCCCGAATGACAAACAAGAAGAATTCTACAAAAAATTACATATGAAAATAATTGAACTGGACTATGCTAATATAATTATGATGGGAGATTTTAATGGAATTGTAGGCAATAAATTGGACAGCACAGAAAACAATAAAGCAAAACAGAAAAACTCTCCCTAAATCTTTTTTTGAAATGGTAGATGAAATAAATTTAAAAGATACACGGAGAGAAAGAAATGCCAAAACTAAACAATACACCTTCTATTCAAATAGACACTTATCATGGTCCAGAATAGATATGATATGGATGTCAACAGAATTAATAACTAATATTCAAGAAATAAATATCGAAACAAGTACTTGGGCAGATCACAATCCAATGACATTTAAATGGAAAGGACAAAAAAGAAGATCTAGATGGATGTTAAATAATACTATTTTAAAGGAAAAAGACTTCACACAGTGGATGGAGAAAGAATTGGCTTTTTCTTTAGAGAAAACAAAAAAGAAGATACATCAATTCAGAATGTATGGGATACAATGAAGGCATATGTTAGAGGCTTGATAATAGACTATACAAGGAAAAGAAATGCTATGAAAAGATTAGCCTCTAAGGCAGGGGTGGGCAAACTACGGCCCGTGGGCCACATCCGGCCCGTTGGTCTGTCCAATGCGGCCCGCCCCTGAAAAAAAATCGCTGCCATTGGTCTGTCCAATCCGGCCCGCCCCTGAAAAAAAATCGCTGGGCGTGGCGTATTGCCCTGTGCCACGTGGCCCCCAAAGCTGCAAAACAGTGCGGAGTGATCTAGGGGTAGGAAAGAAAAGAAATTTGCAAAGGCCTCGGCTGGGAGTTCGAAATCACCTTCGAGTGCGACCTCTTCGAAGGTGAGTCCCCGCCGATCCCCCTTTTTTTTCCGGGGCTTCCAGGCTTAAACTTTGCAAAGGCAAAGCTTGCAGGCTGGAGCATCTTCCCGTCGAGGAGCGTCTTCCACCCGGCGGGCGGGGCGGGCTGCTTGGAGCCACCTAAAGCTAGGCCGCTGCTGGTGGAGCCTTGCCCTGCCTTGGTGCCCCGTTTCCCGGCTCGGCGGTCCTGCTTGGGCGGCACTTTAAAAGCCTGCTCCCAGCACCCGAGCAACTTCCCAGCAACTTTCCGCTTCGTTTTAACTCGCGGGCGCTCGCACCTGGCCCCGAGCCGCGCGGCGGAGGGGAAGCCCGGCGGGCGGGCGGGTAGGTGGGCTGCTTGGAGGAGGCGACACGGCGGCACTCCGGGCTTCCCCTCCGCCGTGCGGCTCGGGGCGAGGCGCGAGCGCCCACGAGTTAAAACGAAGCCGAAAGTTGCTAGGAAGTTGCTCGGTTTTCCGGGGCTTCCAGGGCTTTGCAAAGGCAAAGTTTGCAGGCTGGAGCGTCTTCCCGCCGAGGAGCGGGAAGGGTTCCGCCCGGTGGGCGGGGTGGGCTGCTTGGATCGGGCTGCTGTGCGGCTCGGGGCGAGGCGCGAGCGCCCGCGAGTTAAAACGAACGTGAAAGTTGCTGGGAAGTTGCTCGGATTTCCGGGGCTTCCAGGCTTAAACTTTGCTCGGGCGGCACTTTAAAAGCCTGCTCCCAGCACCCGAGCAACTTCCCAGCAACTTTCGGCTTCCTTTTAACTCGCGGGCGCTCGCGCCTGGCCCCGAGCCGTGCAGCAGAGGGGAAGCCCGGCGGGCGGGCGGGCTGCTTGGAGGAGGCGACCCGGCAGTGCTCCGGCAGCAGCAACAGGCAGTTTCGCCCGGGCTCCGCTCAGTTGTCCGGCTGGGGCTGTCAGGAGTTGCTACCGCCGGCACAGCTCCATGCGGCTCCAGTCCCGCGTTGCCTTGGGAAGGAAAAGGCAAAACCAGGAGCCGCTGAGCCTGAGCCTCCAGTGCCGCTGCTCCCGTTGCAAAGCACCGCCGCGGCTCTTCCTTTTTGCCTTTCCCTTCCCGAGGCAACGTGGCACTGGAGCCGCGCGGAGCCGCGCCGGCGGTAGCAACTCCTGACTCAGGGGGCCTCCGAGGGGAGGGAAAGGGGGAGAAGAGGGGGGGAAGGGTGGGGGGGGCGATTCCCAAAAAATCTTGTGCTGACCCGGCCCGTCTGTCAAATTTTAAAAGTCAATGCGGCCCCCGAGCCAAAAAGTTTGCCCACCCCTGCTCTAAGGCCTTAGAGGATGAGTATAAAAGACTTGAAAAAGAGCTACAGAAAATGCCACAGAAAAAGGACATCAAGCTAAAAATGGATATAGTTAAACATAAAATGGGTCAAATAGAAAAAGAACAATTAGCACAGAAAATTAGAGGTGCTAAACAGAACTACTTTGAAGATGCAAACAAACCAGGTAGATGGTTAGCATACAAACTGAGAAAGGAGAAAGAATCAAGGAAAATATTGCAATTAACAAATGACCAAGGCCAAGTTTGCTATGGTAGTAAAGAGAAGAAGGAAATCATTCGAGACTTCTATGGGAAACTATATATGCAAGAGAATATTGATGAGGAAAAAAGTTAAACAGTACTTACAGAATGCTAATTTACCTCAGATACCTAAAGAGATTGAAACAATGTTAGAAAGCAATATAACGATGATGGAGTTAACTGAAGCACTCAAGAAGCAAAATCATAGAAAAGCACCAGGCCCAGATGGACTTCCGGCAGAATTTTACAAAACATTACAAGAATCGTTGAATCTTCCATTGCTAGAAGTTATGAATGAAGTTATGTTAAAGAAGAAGATACCTAAACCATGGTCAGAAGCCTATATTACACTTATTCCAAAAGAGGAGGCCGACCCAATACAAATTAAGAACTATAGACCCATTTCTCTACTAAATGCAGATTATAAAATCTTTGTTTCAATATTGGCAGAAAGACTTAAAAAATATGTAAATAATTTTATTCATCCTGATCAAAATGGATTTCTGCCAAAGAGACAAATTAAAGACAATATGAGAGTAATCTTGGACACCTTGGAATGCTACGAGGCACATCCTGAAAAACAAATGCCTCTGATATTTCTAGATGCACAGAAGGCATTTGATAATGTGAATTGGAGATTCATGTTATTACTGCTGGAACAGATGGGCTTCGCTAGAAAATTTATTCAAGCAATAGAAGCTATATACTATAAGCAAACAGCAAAGGTAATGATAGAGGGAGAACTGACAGACTCTATCAATATAAGAAAAGGAACAAGACAAGGGTGCCCACTATCACCTTTGTTGTTTGTGTTAACTTTGGAAGTGCTAAACAGAAATATTAGAGATGAAAAGAATATAAAAGGAATGAAAATCAAAAAGGAAGAATTTAAGCTGCAAGCATTTGCAGATGATCTGGTTTTCATCTTAGAAGACCCTCTAGAAACAGCACCAAAATTGATGGAAAAGATAGAGACATATGGAAAGGTGGCTGGTTTGAAAATAAATAAAGATAAGACAAAGATCTTGACAAAGAATATGCTATTAAGACAAAAGGAAGAACTGGCAGACCTATTGAAAATTCAGTCACAAATAAGATCAAGTACTTGGGGATATATTTGACAGCAAGATGTAGTACACTAAAAGAGAATAATTATATCAAACTTAAACAGCAGATAGCGCTAGATCTGGTGAAATGGGAAAATTTACAACTGTCACTAATAGGGAGAATTTCAACAATCAAGATGAATATATTACCCAGAATTTTATATTTGTTTCAAACAATTCCAATTAGGCTTGGAAAAGATTACTTTGAAGATTTAAATAAAATTGTGTTGAAATATGTCAAGGTAAGAAAGCGAGAATAAAGTTAAAACTTTTGCAAGATGCTAGAATTAGAGGAGGATTTGGTTTGCCTAATTGGGAGTTGTATTATCAAGCTACAAATTTAATGTGGGTTAAGGAATGGATAACACTAAGAAATACTAGATTGTTGACACTAGAAGGACATGATTTGTTGTTGGGGTGGCATGCTTTTTTATGGTATAAAGGAACTAAAACACAGGGGTATTTTAGAAGACATTATATACGGGAGTCTCTGTGGTTAAACTGGGAGAAGATTAAAAGACAATGTTATTTGAAAATTCCAGTCTGGCTATCGACTATTGAAGCATTTTCTTATCCTATAATATACAAAAAGGAACAAACAGTTAGATATGGTGAAATATTGAATGAAAAGGGTGAACTTAAATCGATGCAAAACTTAGAGGAACAAGATATAAAGATGAATTGGTTTTCATACGCGCAAATACATTCAAGGTATGATAAAGATTCTAAAATGGAATGTTTCTATGATAAATTGACTGATTTAGATAAGATTTTGACAGGTACTGATGAAAAGATGATTAAAAAATTGTATGGATATTTATTAGAAATTAAATTAGAAGAAGAACAAGTTAAAGAAACTATGATTGCTTGGGGGAAGAATTTTGGATATGGGATTGATTTAGAGAAATGGCAAAAATTGTGGTCTCAAAATTATAAACTGACAATGTCAACAGCATATAAAGAAAATTTGTATAAGATGTTTTACAGGTGGCATTTTCCCCTGACAAGAATAGCAAGAATGTTCAAGAATAAATCCGAAAAATGTTGGAAATGTCATCAGACACCTGGCTCATATGTGGTGGACTTGTGCGGATGCTAAAAAATACTGGACTAAAATCCACATGTGGTTGGAAAAAATGACAAAAAACATATAGACTTGAGATATTTTTATTGGGAATTTTACCTGAAATATATAGTAAAGATTTGAAATATCTGATTGTAAATGTATTAACAGTGGCTAGGATTGTATTTGCCGAAAACTGGAAAAATGAGAAAACACTATCACAGGAGGAAATCATTAAGAAAATATTGGAATGTGCTGAAATGAGTAGTTTGACATTTGAAATTAGAGAACAAGAGGATAAAGAATTTTATAAAATCTGGGATCTATTCTATCAATGGTTAGACAATAAAATACAGTAATGGAATATGTAGACTTTTAGAAAATAATAAATATATAAAAATGTATTTCTTTCTTATTATATCTACAAAATGATTTTAGGATAGATTTGGGATGATAATATGAACTGTTATAAAACAAACTAAGTAAATTATGATTATCTTGTAAAACATGAATGAATAAAAGTATAGTCAAATGATTGATTAATAATGATACTAAGGTATTTAATTTTTGATTGAAAATACGAGATTATATGCAATGTAATTGTAATTGAAGACTACAAAATGGAAGCACAAAACAATTTGTAAACCAACCGGCATACTGTATGTATACATATGGAAGATGGCTTGATGTTTTTATGTTTTGTTTGTTTATGTTTGTTTTTAAAAACCAATAAAAAATTTAAAAAAATGAATACTATCTAGAAATCAAAACAGCAATATCATAATGCCAATATCTCTATATAAAATTCGAATTTCTTTGTGTTTGTAATATGTTCCTGGTCTGAGAGCAGATCAGAATTATGCAGTATATTGTTGAACTGCTTCTGACAGGTTTTCCATGAGCTAGACTTAAATTTGCAGCACCACTATGAAAGGCTCACGATTTCTGCTTCTCCTTCCAGTCTAATGTATTCTTCTTTCAAATTGTCTCAATACTTGCAAGTTCCTGTAAAATTTCACCCATATTATACTGATAATAGCTATCTCCTGGCTTTAGGTAATGCCAAGATTACTGCTCAAGCTGTAACACCTTGGAGATCTGTATGTACATAAAAGTCACTGAAATATGTGTGAACATACACACAAATTGGTCAATAAAAATCGCCAGCTCTACTGGCGATCAGAGAAAATCAGCTGAAGTCTCATTTCCTATTTACTGGGGTCCACCAAGCACATCCATTTCTAGGCTGCCAATCACACCCAAGGCAGTGTCCTCACCCTCATCTGTGGTCCTCCATCCATTTCCATGGAGCTGCAAAGTAGAATCAATGCTTCTACCTCTAGATGGCTTGCATCCAAATTTTAGTTTGGGAATGCTGCCACAATATATTACAACCTGAGTTTGATATTTTCCTATAAAATAAAAAAAAAGAATAATAGAAGGGAGAAAAGAGAACCATCATTTGATAATTCTTCAATCTTGCATATTCCTTGCTTTGCCTCAGGTTGGCTCCACTTGGGAAAGAATTTTCAGGGAGGGAGCAGGAAACTCAGTGTGTAAGCGGACTTCCATTCTGATAATTCACACAAAAAAGTAAAGGAAGGAAGGAACGAACGAACGAACGAACGAAGGAAAGAGGGAAAGTGGGAGAGAAGGAAAGAAAGAAGAAAGGTCTTTACCTGCCATAAAATCATCATGTGTTGCCATGGGCCTTGAAGAGCCTGAGATACCTGTACAGGTAAGGAGCTGCAACTTCTACTCCATTTGTCTGGACCCAGAACTGTTGCTTCTTTCCCAGAATATATCAATTTCTGCATGAAAGGACAGCATAATCTTTATGACTATTACATTCTCAACTGCCAGAGAATTTTTTAAATACATAATTGTTGCTATCAACTATTTTGACTTAGCCATAAACTGTTGCCACCATTAAATATTTTAATAGAAAGTAGTGCATAAATTTATGACATATAAATAAAGAACTGAGAATTGCTTCATACATTTTAAAAAAACCTACACAAAAATAATCTTTCTATTTAAAAATCATGCAATTGCCATATTGAGTGAAATAGTCATATGAATTATTAATCAAGTTGTAAATACAGAATAGGAAGTTCGTCTTTAGTATGGATGACAATAATTCTCCAGTGGTGGCAGGATATGGAATTCTGTGATAAGTAAATGTGGATGTGAAACTGAAAGTTAGATGGGTTGCTTGCTTGCAATGAAGACATTTTATGTTGCTTCGTGGAACCTGATAAATCAGAAACTCTTTTGGTTGATATTGCTCAGAGATGACAACTAAGAAGTTTGCCTGTACTTGGCTGAGAAGTCTGATGATGGTGGAGCATGTAACACCTCAAAAACAGCAGATTTATAATTATAAATGTTCATAAAAGACTAAGACAAAAATAACATCTTCAATTGGTATTGTACAGGAGATATGACAGTAGAAATAGCTACAAAGGTACATACACTGGTAACTTGAGCTACTCTAGTGGACTCTAGGTAGAGTCACCTTTGCTCTTTGCCTGAGGTTGCAGCTGAGCAGAACATAAGAGTCAATGTGTTGAATGAGACACCAGCCAAGAAGCTTCTTCAGCTCTGACAAGACAGTGGGGAATAGAAGGATTTATATTCCTTGTAGACAGCTGGTCATTTGCATCCTTTTAGAAGGTTGTTGAAGCACTTGGAGGTTATCTGACCCACACCTTTGAATGGTATGGGAGTAGGAATGGATTTCCAGAGAAAAAATTGCAGATTACAGGAACCAGGAGCACTACTCAGGTGACCTGAGGACACAGATAAACCTCCAAGTGCTTCAACGACTCTCTAAAAGGATGCAAATGACCAGCTATCTGCAAGGAATCTAAATCCTTCCATTCCCACTATCTTGTCAGAGCTGAAGAAGCTTCTAGGATGAGAAGCAAATTGTCTTCAAAGAAAAAACAAGAAAGTCCAATTGCCTCCTGAAAAAGCACCTTTGGGACAGCCATGTCCAAAATCTCTACAGACTTTCAATAGACATTGTATTATTAGTTTTAGATTATGGCTATTAGTAATTGAGTCAAAGTTTTTGCTTTTGACCTATAGTGCCTGATGCAATCTGGAAACATAAGAAATTGAAGGTGGCCTTTCTTCTCATAGAACCAGATAGTCACTAAGATCAACAGAAGAGGCCATACTGCATCTACCTATCCATCTGACTGTTAAAGACAAATATGCCTTTTCTGCAGTGGCTCTTCCTCCTTGTCATTCAGGAGACAACCTATCTCTTAACTACTTTGTTAAAGACTAATGTGTGAATCCAGTTTTTTCTTTCCCTTCCATATTTTTAATGTGTTTATGCTTAGTAGCCTATTATTTTATGTTATTATGCTTCATATTTATTTTTCACTGGATATAATGTTTACAGTTGTTGACATAAGGGATATAAAATCTGCAAATGAATATTACTTTAATATACATTCTTACAAAGTTTTCAATCAAGAACCATTGCATCAAGAATTTTATAGAAATGCAAAGTCCACAAGATCACTAGGTCACAATCACCACATTTCTGTTGGAAATGCAAAGCAGGTCAATTTATGTCCATTTTCAGAAAAATAAAATTTATGGGGTCCTCTCTGCACTTGATTATTTTCATTATCTAATTAGGTAGTACCATCAATGTTAGCAGTGGGTGTTGCTCTCTGTTTATATACAGAATATGTCAGTGTTGGTAGAAGTGTCCTTGGTACTGTAGTTCCCTGATTAGGTTATTGTTTATTGTTTGTTTCTCGGAGTTGGTTGTTCCTTGATTGGAGCATTGTTTACTGCTTGATTGTTGGTCTGATATTAATAATAATAGCACTTAGATGTATATACCACTTCACAGTGCTTTGCAATCCTCTCTAAGTAGCTTTCAGAGTCAGCATATTGTCCCCAACAATCTGGGTCCTCACTTTACTGACCTCAGAAGGATTGAAGGCTGAGCCAGTGAGAATCAAATTGCCAAACTGCTGGCAGCAGCAGTCAGCAGAAGTAGCCTGCAGTACTGCATTCTAACCACTGTGCTGGATGTTTCTCTCTGCTTAGCTGAGTATTGATTGCTGATGAAGAAATAGTTTGTTTTCTTTTTTAGCTTTTTGATTGTCTCACTTGAATGGGATATATTTATCTCCACGTGCCTGTTGATGGCTTCTTTGTATGAATGCCAGGCTTCCAGGAATTTTCTAGCATTTGGGACTTAAATGTATCTTGGTTTGGGATGCTCAGTTGAAACCATGAAGTCTGTCCCTGTACTATGCAATTAAGGAGTTTTCATGATGTCTCTTCGTTGCTAGTTTATGTTCATGGATGTGCTCTTCTAGTCTTCTATCTGTCCTACGTAGTGGCTATTACAGTCCTTATACTGTAGATAGTAGATGACTCCTGTTTTTTTATGGCTATCCTTTTTCATACCATGTTGTAGTAGTGGGTTGAATGATCCATTTTGTTGTAGAGGTTTCTACAACATCTTCCAAACTATTCCAATCTTCCCATCTATTTCCTTTTCCTGATGTTTAGGGTTGCTGTTGTCGGCTTATGCTGATCTAAAAAGTATTCTTAGACAGCCTCTCATGTGGGAAGTTGGGCTGTTACTTTGGTAGTGGAGCACTTGGCTAGTGTGGATGGTTTTACATAAACTTTACTAAACAGCCATTACTTCTGTTGATAAAGATATCCAGGAAGGTCAATGTATTGTTTTCTTCTTCTCTTGTGAATTATATTCTTTTGAAGATGATGTTGTTTGTTTCAGGTGTCTTTACCTTTAGTCGTTCCCATTTTATTATGGTAAAGGTGTTGTTTCATGTATTCACAACTATGTATACACTTGTACTTATTATCTTGTAAACAATTGGCAAATCAAATAAATAAATAAAATAAATAAATATCAATCCATACTTTTGATGGTATGTGTGAGACTGCTACAGTTTCTACATGCTCTATTATGGTCTCTGCTATGAGTCCTGAGAACAGTGATCCCATGGGTGTTACTCTGATTTATTGGTATATTTGTCTGTCAAATTGAAAGTGGGTAGTAAGGCAAAGGTTGATAAGGTCCATGATTCACGATCCATAAAATTTATTAGTAGACAATATTGCACACATCAAGACTGCTCCAATACATTTTTCTGTCTGAAGCAAACAAGAAGATACTCTTTTCCATTCATCCTACAGATAAGTAGTTGAATTTTATTACTGACTCTTGTTTGGAAAAAACACCCTTTTGCAACTGAGGGCAGAAAAATAGCTTGGCGAATATTAGACAAAGTGCCTGAAAAATACATGATTCTGCCCTCAAAGTGAGGTTGCTATCTGGGGGCTATTGCCACCATTCTCCAGCGTCTTTCACTTAAAGCAACCAATTCACTCTATCTAATGACCCAGATATAAATCATGCTTTCTTTAAGAATAAGTAAGAGCAGCAAGAAAGTGATTGTTTCATGACAAGATGACACTATTATTGCATTCTTTCTCCTAAGTCAGATTTACTATAACAGGTTTGCCTGATATGAGCCCCAGATTTGCACTAGGGTTATGAAATGCCTAACACAAAAGAACCCACTAAAAATTGCCACCAAACTAATTAGTAATTGGCAGGAAAGAAACCTCCTTAAATGCCCAAGGAATCATCAAAAATCAGTATTGAACTGACTTGAATGCAACTTAAATTAATTCATGTTTAGTTGTAGTTGTATGACTCTTCCACTTTATTAAAAAGGCATGAAAATAGATGGGTGGAAGAACCCTGGGGAACCCAAAAACATGGCAAAAATAACATGTGATGATTTCAGAATAAATGCCAAATGTCCCTTGTGAAAGTGGTCCACATGCAGCATTTGCTTAAAGAGACTAAATTCTTTGGATATTAGAGTATAGAGTATAGAAAGAGCCTGTAATGTATATTTCAATGAAGGACAAGCATGATTATTATAAAAAGTATCTTAATTCCACAGTAAAAAAAAAAGAGACATTTCCGCAACAAATCAACCTGATCAATCATTGCAAGGGGATTGGCTTGTGAAGACAAAATTTGGAAAGACAAATTGAGTGCTTCATGCTTGCTTAAACCATGACAATAGAATAGGAACCTGGGATGGAACAATAAGTATTGATTCATTCTTCCAATAAAAATGAAATATTGAGAGTGCTTCTATGTATGCCTCAACATGAAGTCAGCCAATTAACTATGAATTTGGATATAATTTATTTCTCCATTTATCATGCTATAACCTGACAGCCATTGCTTAGGCATCTTCTCTGTGCAAGATTTCTTCTCTTTAGCACTCTGCTCTGTGAATCACTAAATTTGATCATATGAAGGATTAAATAAGATAGTGTCAAATGCCAAGACAAATTGAATGTTTCATGCTAAAAAAAATACCTGCACATTTTATAAAGGAAACTTCTGCAATGGAAAGTTTCTAAACGATCAAAGTTCCCATATCTCTTCTTTAGTCTTAAGGATATGGTCACACTTCAAAGAAAATCATTTATTTGTAAGTGGCTCATCTTTTTTTATTCTTTAAAGTAGGTTATGAGGCTTTTTAGGGATCAGTGACATTCTCAAAAATAAAGGTAATTCTAGAACTAGCACCTGTGCTTTTTGATTGATTGATTGATTAAATGTTAATGTAAAGATCCAAGTGGCACAGAAAGCCTTTAAGTACAAAAGGAGATGTCCAGGGTGAGGACTGGCTATAGAAGATAATCAGGTTGAGCCTAAGGGAAGGGTCAAATGCATCATAACTCATGAGTCACTATGTGCCTGCAAA